ATATTTCCGTGAACCGAATTTTTTGACCTAGCTCATTCAGTGAAGCATTTCAGCTGGGAAATGGTGCTGATTTGCACCACAGCTACAAAATTGTTGCTGAAATGTGCTTCCAGCCTGCCCCCGACAGACAGATGGGGTTACCCATTCATCAGTGATTTATTCCGAGGAACTCTAGCCGGAAGTGCGTAAAAACAGTTCATGTAAAAGGGTACAACAACAACAACAACAACATAGGGTGGGGATGAGATTCGGCGGGCCACACGGGCTCGCAGCACCCTGGGACGCAGGCAGGCCCTATCGCGGCCGCCTTCGGTGTTAACCGTCGGCAATGTCTACCTCGGCCTGAGACGTTGCTTGAGCCTGCGCCCGCGTCGCGCCCGGCAGGCCGGCCAAGGATCCGTTCTACGACGTTGATGCGGAGAACGAAGACCGGCAGGCGGCCGAGGCCACGCGCAAGCAGAAGGAGGCGCAGACCTACCTCAAGCGGGTGATCGTGCACCCGGCCTTCCACAACATCGACTTCAAGGAGGCGCGCCGCCTGCTGGCCACCATGGACCAGGGCGAGGCCATCATCCGGCCCAGTAGCCAGGTGAGGGCGGCGGCCGGCTGACCGGGGCGCAACAGCCAGGTGAGGGCGGTGGCCGACTGGCCGGGGCGCAGCAGCCATATGAGGGCGGGGGCCGGCTGGCCGGGGCGCTGCAGCCGTCGCCGTCAGCGTCCGCTCGGACAGTCCGCGTGACGTTAGAAATCAGCTTGCCGGTTTTAGCTGGAGATCCGTGCACCTGTGTCATGCGTTCGCGTTGCATCCTCCCTCGAGTGCCACGCGAGAGCTCGTGCTCACTGGTTCCCGCGCGCGTGCTGCAGGGCAGCGATCAGCTGACCGTGTCCTGGAAGGTGACCGATGACGTCATCCAGCACATCAACGTCAAAGAGATGGGCAAGGAGAACGCGTTCAGCCTGGGCCAGACGCTGGTCATCGGTAAGTATCTGGCGGGTCCGGCCGGAGCGGACTGCGCCGGTGCCTTGTCAAGCCGCCAGAGAAAGATGGCTTTGTAAATTGGCCTTAAACGAGCCAAGCTGGTGGCATGTGCGGGCGTGGGTGGTCGTGTGTTGGATAATTCATCACGCCGCTAGTTACGCCAATACAGTGGCGTTCAGCTTCGGACATGAGTTGCCTCCGTGTTCCGGTCGCCGGTGGCGTTGTCCACCCGGTCTCACGCGGCCGGCCGCCGACTTCAGACAACGAGGAGTTCGAGGATCTGGACGAGATCCTGGCGCGCCACGTCAGTCCTGTGTCGGCGCACGCGCGCGACCTGCTCAGCTACAAGTACTACCGCGACACAGACGGCGGCAAGCGGCCGCGCGCCGAGGAGCTGCTGCGAGATGAGAAGCGCAAAAACCCTCAGAAGATTCCCTACATCGTGTCCGTCTCCAAGGTGGGGCTGCGCGGAAATAATCCTACATCGTGTCCGTCTCCAAGGCGGGAGCGTGGGGAGATCACCCTACACCGTGGCGGTTTCTAGTTTTGGCATCTGCCGTGCAGCGGAAAAAAACCGCATTACATCTCCCTCCAGGACGTGCGCGCACTATGGTACAAAAATACTCCTCATCGTGTCCGTCCGTAAGGTGATCGCAGCTGTTGCCCGGGAAAGGTAGTGCGTCACGTCCGCGGTCCTCGAGGTGAACTCCGGCTGCGGCGGGAAAGCACCGCGTTGCGCCATCGCTGCCGTCACTGTCACTTGGCATGCAAATGATGGCGACAGTTCGGATGACGCACACATATGCGTCTGAGTTCGTCGCTTTCTGTCTGGCGGCGTCGTTCGTGAAGGGTCAGCAGTGCTGGCCTGCGCTGTTGTGTCAGCGGTGCTGGAGGGTGCTGACTCAGCACACTCTACTGGGCTGCGTGCTTCGGTCGGCCGCCGCTGACGCCCGCGCCCCGTCCGCAGGAGCACCCGGGCAAGTTCATGCTGTCCTACATGCCGCGCACGCGCGCGCGCCACGAGTTCATCACGCTGACGCCGGAGGGCTTCCGGTTTCGGCAGCAGATCTTCGAGACGATCCCGGCGCTGTTCCGCTGGTTCAAGGACCACTTCCGGGACCCGGTGCCGCAGACGCCGCGCGGCACGACGGCCGCTGCGCGCACGCCCTTCACGCCCGGCGCTGGCTTCAATATCAACAGTGAGCCGCCCTTCCGACCCACGCTGCCTCCCACGTTGTGGCCTTCCTCGACACCCGTCCGGCATAGCAAATGCAAATGGGATGCACGTTTCTTATACACTTCAAATGCGAATGAGAATACATCCCCTACTTCATCCAGAGGCGTGTTCCCAGCCCGTTGTAGAACCAAAAACCAAAAACAGAAAACAGAAAACGAACTAAAAGCTACAACATTGTTGAAGTTGACGGCCTATAAGGCTAAGGCACGGGTGAAAATGGTGACGGTAAAGCATGCGAAACCGATCATGCATCGTGATGTGAAGCATAGCATTTGTCTACGGATGCTCGTAAGCCTTAGCAGCAGTATCGGTATTGTGCAACCGTATGACATTTCCCATCAAACCAGTGGACCACGTGGCAATGACCGAAGCAACGCAAAAATTGGCAGATTTTCGGACATCAGACCTTGTTTGGAACACACAACGCTGGCGTGTGGTCAGTGGTCACCGAACTTACTCGTAAGACGTTTGTTGTAGTCCCTACCTTGCCCACATTTGATGTCTTCGTGACGTATTTAGGCCGGATCAAAGAGCTGACCCCCTCCCCCCCCCCTCCCATCCCACACCACCCCCAATCTTTCAGATGAACGGATTTTCAAAGGGTTTCCAAGGCGCGTGTTGATCGTCACGTTCTCCGCCGACGGGGTGTCGACGGCTATCGAGCGGTGTCAGCAGTGTTAAAGTCAATTTGACCTCATAGTGAGCGACGCGAGGGTTACCGTCTCTCGGGCCGGCGCGGCCGGGATGGGGCTCGCTCGGCTACCGAGGGGGGGGGGGACGGCCCGACACCGGCAGTCTCCCTATCGGCCGGGCTGGTGACTCGGCCGGCCGGGCAGCGGCCAGCTCCCGCTGGAGGCCAATGTCATGCTCGTTGACCTCTGATCGGCGGGGCTGCGGCGCTGGCGGCCGCCCGGAGGCGTTTGACGCTACGGCGAAGGGCGTGGTCGGAGGCGGGCCGGCACAACGGATCTGTTGGCTCGCTGCGCTCAACCGATTCTCGGGCGGCCAGTAATCGGCACACAACGCCGATGGGCGGCGTCCGTAATGGCGTCTGTCTGTCTGTGCCGAGCTTCAGCAGTGTTCGCTTTTTTGTTTTTTTGTTTTTGTTATGAGGGGCGATAGCGCAAAGTGAAATTCTTTGTAACTGTGCATAGCTGTCTGTCTTGTAATTGTCAGGAATATCCCAGCCTTTGGGGTTTAGGAAGCTGCGATGTTATTTCGCCGGAGTGATATTCGGCGCGTAGCTGGGTTTTAATTTTTGTAATTGTAATTATATTTTGTGGTTGATGTGTAACTGTTGCCTGCCTCACTGTCTCCCGCCGTATTCGATTATACGGCACTTTTCCCAAAGGACGTTTGCGTGAGTCTGGACAGCATGCGCCCTCACTGACATTTCACGCCATACTTTGAGATAACCCACGTTTTCTGAGATCCAAACAGCACTATTTTTGTTTGAAAGATATCAGCGTCGAGACCTTTTATGATTCTCATTGGCCACGTAAAAACCTCATATACGAGGAATAACCACTGCAGACCACCCGTACAAAAATACACAATAAACGGCGACGATTTTCGTAACCCTGCCCGCAGCTCTCTTGAACTTACCAGGAACATCCCAGGCTTTTTGGTTCAGAAGGCAGCAAAGTGATATCAGCCAGAGTGATTTTCTCTGCGTTTTTTGGGCTGCAGTAGTTTACTAGTTTTTCCCAGCGCTCGTAGCATTGTCTTGCTGGGTGTCAACGCCAGCTTCGCTGCGGTGTCGATGGCCGCCCGTGCGGTCGTCAGTGTACAGATAACCTAATATCTACTCTTGTCGTCTTTTTGGTGCGGCTGCGAACGACGGATGCGATGTGAAACGTTGACGAAGCTGTCGTTTGCCCTCTCCCTGCAGACGTTAACGCCGAGGCGGTGGCGCGGGTGGCGCAGAACCTGTCTGGCAACGTGCTGCACAACCTGTCGCAGGCAGCCGCCCACACCCCCGGCTACTACCCCAACACGGTGAGTGGCACGGCGCCGGGCCAGACACCGGTCCGCTCACGTAGTGAAGGGCTGAATTTGGGCTCCACTACAACGGCGTGTTGCGAGTTGTGATTGGTACTGTGCTGAATTTTGAGGGATGAAGTGGTCCTTCTCAACAGCGAACGGCTGCTGACGGAGTATGGTCCCGTTGAAACGAGTGCGCAGAAACGTCGCAGTTGCGCTGTGCCATAGTCCGTGCAATGATTCCGGCTGTAAGTCATTATTCCGTGTGATTCAAGTTTCTACAGACAACCTCGTTCCGTGAATTTGGAATGTAAACAGTGCTTACCAAATCGACAGCCATCTCAATGGCATCTGGCAGCGACCTGATCATGCTTCGCTGTCGCGGTGTGCCTGGTGACGCCGCAGTGGTCGAGGGGGCGGGTGTGAGCTGCAGTTCCGGCATGCCTTGTGATGTCTGTGTACCCGTCCCGACCTTGTGTGCCATCAGCTGATCTGATCTGACCTGACCTGACCTGATCCGTGCCGTCCGTTCCAGCCGTACACGCCGTCCGGCCAGACGCCATTCATGACACCGTACGCCACGACGCCGCGGTACCAGGGCGGCGGCGGCGGCGGAAGCGGCGCCGCCGCCGCCGCCGCGCACCAGGTGGCCGCCTCGCCGCGCTACCCGCGGGCCGGCCGGCACCCGCAGCCGACGCCGTCCGTCAGCCGCGACTCGCACGACTGGGGCGCCGCCGCCGAGGCCTGGGCCAAGGCGCGCCACAGCCGCGGCGACGCGCGCACCACGCCGCGCGCCGACCCGGCCTCCACGCCGCGCGCCGACGGCCGCGGCACACCGCGCATGGACGCCAGGTCGACGCCGCGCATGGACGCCAGGTCGACGCCACGCGCAGACGGCAGGTCGACGCCACGTATGGACGCCAGGTCGACGCCACGCATGGACGCCAGGTCGACGCCGCGTATGGACGCCAGGTCGACGCCGCGCATGGACGCCAGGTCGACGCCGCGCATGGACGCTAGGTCGACGCCGCGCGCCGACGGTCGCTTCACGCCGCGCGCGGACGGCAGGTCGACCCCGCGCGGCGACGGCGCCTCCACGCCTCGCGACGGCATGCGCACACCCCGAGACGGCTTCCCACCGTGAGTACAGAACCGTACTGGGGATGACTAAGACAGCTGATGGTGGGGTCTGGGGGCTCGGAACGAGGAGCTGTCGGGCTCGAGTCTTGTTTTTGGCCCGACTGCTGAGGGCGCCAAGAATGCCATGATCTCGCCCGTAGTGTTGCGTCGTCCCAGGCCGGTTGACCTCACACTGAGCTGACCCAGTGTTTTAACAGTCTTGCGTGTGTATGTGCTTGCGTTTGTATGTTGGCGTCTAGGATCGTGGAACAATGTATGGCTGCTCTCCAGACATGTCCGTGAATTTGAGATATGCCGACCTACATTCTTGCCCACTCGTCTATTGGTTGCTTACGTCGAAACGCATGCGTGCTGTACGGATCCGACTTCGTGGAGCAAATTTAAGCCGTTCTCACCACTCAGACCGAGTTCGGAGGCGGCGCCGGCGCAGCCGGGCTCGGCGCACCGCGGGCCGCTCCACCCCAGCGCCGCGGCATGGTCAGTGACCCGACGCCGTCCGTTGCAGACCGGGTAACCCGGCGTCGCGCTCGAGGCGGACCCCGCGCGCCGGCGAGACGCCCCTGTACGACGAGTGAGCGGGCCGCGGCCGAGTTGGACACGCCACCGCTCTCCCGACTTTGTGATGCGTTGCACTGTTCCGTGACTCTGACTCCGCTCCGGAGCCCTGGCCAGACTCTGAGACTCTGTTCTGAAGCCCTGACCGGACTCTGAGACTCCGTTCTGAAGCCCTGGCCAGACTGAGACTCCGTTCTGGAGCCCTGGCCGGACCCTCCGCCTCCGCTCCGCGGTCCTGGCCGGCGCCGGCCGGGCGCGGCTGGCCGGCCGGTGCCTGGCGGGTCGTCAGCGGGTCGGCGCTGACCCGACCTCAGACGGCAGGGGCCACGGCCTCCGGCCCGGCGCCGCGCGGGCAGCCGGGGTCGCGACACTGTGTGGATGGGTGGACCGCACGCCGATGGTCTGAACGGTCTCAATATACCGGGCAGAGCGCGGCGGAGTGTGTCTTTCGGCGATGCTGGACGGAGAAGGGAGAGGTCGCGGCCGCTCGGCTGACCGGCGGTTTTCGCTGATCACCGAGGTATCTCGTATCATTGGAGGCGCGTGCGCTGCGCCCAGGAGTCCGATGTGGCGGTGATGCGATGTGTAGGTCAGAGCTAAGACCGGCACGGGCGTGGTCGAGAAGCGCCTCCGGCTCCTGGGCCCGTTGGTATGTAATATCCCTGGCACAGTCGGGCAGCGTGGTTGCAGACGTGGGTTATACCTGGACGGATCCGCGCCTGAAGCAAGTCATCCGGGATACGTCCAGCAAACAGGCATGCCCTGATGCCCTGTTAGGAGATACTCTTGCTCTTTTTGAAAACGATGCAGTGCGGCAAATGCCATTAGATCGTAAGTTGTTTTTTTTTTAATCACGGAGCACTGCGCCCTCTCAGACGCTGTCGGTTTTTGTCCCTGGTATGACAAGTTGTCTGGCGTCATACGAGCGAGGCGTAACAGAAGTGAAGTATCCCTGTGGAGGGGATATCTGATCGTAAGTGGGTGGAACGCGTCGACGTGATAAAAGCAAGAAAGGCATCGGGCTCTTGGTTTTGCGACATTGTGAGTTCTCGCACTAGAAATATTCGCCCTCGGACACACTAGGACGTACTGTCGAGATCACCAATCTATTGGGATATCCTACTTCCGTCAGTCTGGCTAGCGGAGGTGCAGTTACGTTTAGCTTTCGTTGGTTAGCGCTGAAATATTGGCTGGCTCTGGGTTTCCAAAGCCGGTAATTTCATCAACAAGATATCTCAGTTTGGAATAGCGGCGTTTTTGGTGACTGCCACACGCAATGAAGATGCGAATGCCGTGGATGGATATTGGCTATAGCACACGCAATGGAAATGCGACTATCGTGAATGGATATTGGTCATAGCGCACGCAATGAAGATGCGAATATCGTGGATAGATACTGGTCGTAGCAAAACGAACCACACGCATGCGGATCATGGCCGGATCCCATCCAGTTAAGGCCGCAACGCGGTGTGGCATGTGAGGCTGGTTTCGGAAAAAATGGGCGTTTAGCGGCTTCCGGACTGTTACTGGCGTGCCCATGAGCAGTGTTGATACGGGGACGGTGTTAAGACCCCTTGATGACCTGCAGATGGTGCACTGACCACAGCCTACGTCGTAAAGCTGGCATCACATCCGTCTCTGCGTTAACAGGGCAAATGGCACCATGGATACTGAAACGTCTTCGCCAAGGCTCCACACGGGACCGAAATCAGCGGAAAATTCAGATATTATATGAATACAGGGTCAGGATTACGCTGCAGCCCGGAATCAGCTGTAACACCTGTCATTTTCCACCTAAAACCTTGAAGCTTGACGCGCTGCCGAAGTCCGACACCTTTTTGACCTTTTTAAACGTCCTAAAACTGCCGGATCCATGATCGGCGCACGCGCACGATGGCACGTGAATCTGCACGCACTGACCTCCACACTTGCCAGTACGACTGTCCCTGTGCTCCGTAACAAGCCCCGTCTTCCCGCGGCGCCTGGTCAACGAGATCTGCGCCTGCTTCCGAGCCACGTCTCCAGATTTTTTTTGCGATTTGAAGACGATACGTTTCCCATGTTAGTGGAATGAGAGGATGTAACATGGTGGTGATATTTCTACGAAATGATGCGCAGTTGTACAAAAACGCCGCCTCACAAAACAGCTCGAATTTCCGTTTTGAAAATACCACGTACAGCTTTCTGAGAACTGACAAGCGTTGCCGGAAATTCCACGGCCGCGCGGATGTTTGCAAGGGTGCAGCCTTGCCAAGAGCTCTTCTGGACGGGTCAAGTCGGTCTGCTGAGACAACAATAATTCGGGCTAGTTGACGCTAAAGGGAGTATCCTGCCTTTTTGTACTTTTATTACTACATCAGACGCGTACGATTTGATCAGGTATACCACTTTTCTCCAAATGCTTCACAATAGCTCAGAATTTCGATTTGAAGTAGCCGGCCCTGCGGTAGAAATCTCATTTGAACCCCTGTTCACCGCTATGAAAGTAGCGCATTTAACCTGCCTTCCTATTTACTGTGTGTTTTGGCCTATGTTTGTTACACACTTCGGTCAACATGCTATGGTAATAAACGCCACGAAAGTTTGCATCAATGGACAAAAATATAAGCGAACATGAAGCTATTCTCCCGCGCATTTTAAGAAACGTTATACCATGGTTTATTTTTCTCCCCTCTGGCGTTTACCACAGTGCCTCTTTTCGAGACCCACTTTCGCTTTGGGAACAGGAGCATCACATGATCCACGCGACGCAGTTCAAACGTCCACCAATGCGCTTCTAGGCAACAGCCCTTTGCCCGCTGGGCCAAACACTAATGTTCTTTTATTCGCACGGGAGGGGGGGGGGGGGGCGTCCGACGGCGGCGGTCACGACTACAGGGAGGAAGCGTAGTGCTGTTGTAAACCGTTGGCAGCGCAATTTGGACTTGAAAATAATTAAAACTGATATCCTTATCATGTCTTGCCGTTGCTGTAATCACGCTCCTCAATGTTATCATATGATGTAACTAGCCCTGCGATTTCACCAGAGCATGCTCTTTTAAACATGCCCCAAGTTGGGACACTCCCTTCAAGACCAGCTCGTCAAGGGGGCCCGTCGTAACGATTTTTATATGTTGCTGTTGTTTGCTTTACACGAATTTATGGAGCCTACAAAATGACCATTGGCCAAATACTCCAAGTTCCGGACATTTTTTGGGCACGAGTTGAAATTAAGAACGAGCCGTGCGGAATTTGGTACATACAGTCGTCTTAACAGTTCGGCACCATACACATAACGTGTTCGACCCGAGCTCCGGCTTCGCTCTCATGTTCAGCGATGGCAATTCCAACCCAGCAAATAGGATGCGCACGCTTCTGCAACAACCAACAGCTGACGGTTTATCAAAATATATGTGTATGACACACCCAATCGCATTTAAGTACAGTGCATGACAAACCTTTTTATCACGAAGTTTGAGTTTGGGTTCACCATCCGCCATACATTGAAACGATACACCCCTAGGTGCTCAAAACGCAGTTGCCAAAGCAACCGTTTTTAAGCGGAGAGATTCGTTTTCACACTCCGTGCAATCACAGTCAAGTAACTCCACCCAGGTATGACACAAGGCGACTACAATCCATGCATGCTATGTATCACTGGTTCACGTGGCCCTTCGTCGTGCATGTACATTTGAGTAACTAAACCCAAGCACGACACGAGGCGAACACGATGTGTGCGTATTTGGGTATCCCTGGCCCGCGCGATAAGCGGTCGGTCGATGACGGTTCGCTGCTCCCGTCCTCTCCGTGTTGCGGCGCAGGACACCACGCGGGTCAGCTGGTGTCAGCCGAGGCCAGCCGCCAGCCGAGCCGAGTCAGGTCGGCACGGGCGACGCATCCTCCGGCTCCTCTGGGGGCACGCGACGGCGATTGCACTGGTTATGTGATGTCGTGTGGCGTACACGACCATCTGCTCCTGCGCCACTCCCCGTGCGAAACACACCGGGCGAGTCTAGACTAGTGTGATATTGTTACTTGTTGTAAGCCAACTGAAAGCGCATGTTCTCCACGGCATTTCCCACTGTGCTGACTTCTTTGTTTTTGACTGTTTTGTAAAGCATTTGCGAGGTCGATGAGTCGCCCTATAAGACTAAAGTCAAAACGCAAGGGTGCCCCTCGACATGGAGGGCTATCGATATTGGCTCGACAAGTCTTGCTTTTTGCAATGTGAGCAATAATACCGGATCGGATCGTCACCCAGTGAGTGCCGCATGTTCACTTGCATGAAATTGTCACGTTTGAGGAGCTGACGTGGCCAAGATTCTGTTTAGGTCCAGAACGGAAGTCCTGGTACAAATCGGTCCAAAGCGCGCCCAGCCTACACGAACTGTCGCGGTTTGTGGGAACGATACCAAGCCCTCATAACACGGCGTGACAAGTCAGGATGACAGTGAGGACAGTCAAGCCAATAAAGCCAATTAATAACCAATCCAGCTAAATTTTACTGGATGCTAATGCACACTTTGTACCTGGTAGGGTGTGGTAGGCGAAGGCCCGTTGCACCATTTTCCGTCGGTAAATAACTGAGAAGGCCAGCAGGGAGATGGCCCACTTCAAGGTCAAGAAGCACATCACTGCACGGACTGAGTTGCTCGTCTCAATCGGGTAGAAACCTGTCCAAATAGACCATGCACATTTATTTACAGACTGGCCTTGTTCAAACCTTGCAATGGGCCACTGCTACACCCCATGCAAAAAAGAGCTTACAAATATGGACCAGCATGATGCACCCACAAGGTATATTTGAAGGTTCAGCACATTTGTAGCACACATGGGGATGAGGACCTTCACATTGCTGATGACCCAGGCACTTGTTCTCACAGCAGGAGACTACATCCCAGGTGTGCACATAATTAGGATGTTCTGAAAACACCTTCAGATCAAAATAAGTGATGCTATCATGCAACTGACAAACAACTTTACTCACAACAGGTACCTTCTAAGCAAAAGGCCTAGCTACAGGTGCATATAGTGCAGAATATGAAAATGGTGAACATGAGAGTTGGTGGAAATGTAATAAAGTAAGGTCCAAGAAAATATGTTAGTTGATAAGTAAGAAAACAGCCTGGTCAGCTGAAATGTGAAAAGAATCATAGTCGATGGAACCATTAGCGAAAAGACTGAAAAAAACAAACAGCAGCTGAAATCTGACATGGTCCAATGATCCATTTGTATGTAAAGCAGTTCAAGTTTGACCCAAAAGGTGGCACTCCCTTTACAGGGACCCAAACTGATCCATACCTTCATGTTTGGAGATGACATTGCTGAGATACCACCCCATCAATGCCAGAATGCCAAGCAGAACAGTGATGGCAAATATGGCAACCCGCCTCATGATGACTGGGTTATACCAGGCTTCCATCAGATCAAAATGGTCCA